ACGCAAGACACGGAAGACACGCAAGACACGCAAGATACGCAAGACACGCAAGACACGCAAGATACGCAAGACACGCAAGACACGGAAGACACGCGACTTTGGTTAGCCACCATTAGCCACACTCTTGTCACATGCGCATCGGTTGGGCATGAACCCCGAGTGACCGTGTACCCAGGGCTTACCCCTCACATCCGAAAAATTCCTGCCTCAGCATAACTAACTCGACGTTTACAATATCGCGAAGACACCTCCTGAAAAAGCCTTCGGACACGAACTCTGTTGAATCAGAAACTCCAAGAATTGAGAGCGCCATATCCTTGCCGACCTGGAATGACAGAACCTGAAACCAAAGAAAAAGAACCTGTAACCAAAGAAAAATTAGTAAGAGCAACATTCTCACCGAAATAACATCATTTAACATTCTATAGATCGACTTATGGAAACCTCTCGATGTCCCCGATAACTTCTTCAAGGACTGCCTCGTTCAACGCATCCACCGTATTGCTCCAGAAGGCTATGCCAGAATATATTATTTCTTGGAGTGCGAAGAGATAGTTTTTCGAACGATGAAGGGAAAGAGGATTTGGGAAACAGAGGGGTCCGGGCAGATTGAGATACCTGCACTCGTAGAGGTGTGGTTGAAGATGGGAAGGTCGAGGCCTTAGAAGACCCCATACAACTTATTCAGAAGTAAAACACCCAGAGCGTATCCAACCCGAATGCTGATGGTACCAATGTGAGGTTTTGTGCGAGATATATGCGTCACAACACAGTCTGTTGATTCGAGAAGGAAGTGTGTCTTCTCCCAATCTCTCAGATCGCTCGCTTCAATAGCATCGCATAAATCTTTGGGAAAGAAGGATTTAATAGCTTTGATAGAAGCCCCGATGAGGGTGAAATAAGCATCGTCTTTGACCGAGTCAGATGCGTAATTCGTGGAGATGTCCAGCTTTATGTTCGGGTACAATATTGCAGCTATCTTGTCTGCTGCTCCTATTTGAAGGTTGAATACGCCATCTATGAGATAATCCAGAGCAAATGCTGCCTGGACGCACTCTGTTAGGCGTGCAAATACCGCGCGTTCTTGTATCCATGCTGGAGCTTGCTCAACAAACTCATACACACGGGCTCCGTACACTTGGAGTACTGCTGCAGGATCAGCTCCAAGATATGAAAACCGGTCGACACTCTCGAGAGCACCAATAGGGCGCGAGATCGATTCTGCTGATTCTGTATCGGAATGTTGACTTGACAAGCGGGCAAACAAGGAGGAGCTAAGTTTCTTGTATTGCTCATTCTGCTCGAAATCGTGTTCTTTTGCTATCGCAGAGAGAAATTCTTTGGCGCTGTGGTTTAAATGGAGTTCTCTAAGCGGTTGATCCAGCTTCATATATTCTTGTAGTAACGTGGATAAGTCCAACTTTGAACAAATCGTAGGAGATATCTTGATGACGAAAGGAAGGAACAGTGAGACATCCTTCTCAAGAACTTCGAGGTAGACTGGACGCGCATGCTTCTCTCTGAATCGACGTGAATATTCCGCATTACTCTGTCGCGTGGCCTGGCGAGGGTTGTTCTCAGAACTCTTGAAAGTAATGCGAAGGCGGTCATTGAGAGTCTCCCGGTGTTCGAACGGAATAGTACCCTTAGTATTGATTTCGCGTAACAAATCCTTGATCTTTTTTAAATGCGTTGGTGCCATAGAAAGATCAAGTAAGAGAAAGATTGTGCGAGATATGGAAGACGTGCAAGATTGTGCGAGATATGGAAGACGTGCAAGATTGTGCGAGATATGGAAGACGTG